GCCTCTTCCACCTTCTGGGGGCCCCAGGCGTTTCTTGGCTATGGTCCTCTTCTATCGTCCTCACATCTCCCTCGGCCTCCCTGTGTAAGGACACTTGTGATTGCATTTAGGACCCACCCGGGTAATCTCCCATCTCAAGATCCTTAATTTAGTCATACCCACAAAGTCTTTGTTGACATATAGGGGACATTCACAGGTTCAGGGATTAGGCCTAGATACCTTTAGGGCCAGTGTCAGCCTCCCACAGGAGGGAAGCTTACTGGTGGGGAGACGGGGGAGGGACAGTGGAAGCATGACTCATGGCTCAGCCAGAGACTTCTGGATGGTTCCATATGGTCAGAGGAGATTGGCATTCCAGGTGGAGGAAGCATTATGTGCAGAGGTTCCACACGTGGAGTATGGAATTGTAAATAACCCAACGTAGTGCGGGTGGAGAGCACACAGGGGAAATGGGACTTTCTCTGCAGGCTGAGGAGTTCCTCTTTCGCAGGAAAGCATTGGGATCTAGTGAAGAGTTTTAATCCAGATTCGCTTTCCAGAAAAACCATTCTTAATCCAGATTTGCTTTCCAGAAAAATCATTCTATCAGTTGTTTGGAGGATGGATTTGAGAGGGTCTAGAGTGGGGCCTGCACACGTTTTCTGTGGAGGGACAGGCAGTAGATATTTCCAGCGTTGCAGGCTGTGCAGTCCTTGACTCCGCAGCGTGCCCAGTACTCTCAGGAGTGGGCCAGCCCTTCCTGTCAACTCTGTCTACAGAGCCGCGCCCTGCAGGCAGGTGGGCGAAGGTGCTTGGAAAGCAAGGGGGGTAGACCGACAGGAGTGGGCAGTCAGCACCAAGTCCTGCGGATTCTGACTCAGCTGGCAGCACAGTGACATCTGCAGTCTGCGTGTGAAAACACTGAGGCCCGGAGAAGCCAGGTCATTTGTCCAAGGTCACGCAGCTGGTAAATGGCCGAGCTCAGGTTGGACCCGGATGATCTGGATCAACAGGAGGCCGGGGTGAGACGGCAACAGGGCAGAGGCCGTGGGGGTGGGACCAGAATCCCAAGCTGGGTTGCAGACAGGCAAGGGGACCCAGCGCCTGCCGGAAAGTGAGGAGGAGAGAAGGTGATGTGACTGCTGGCCAGGGTGACTCCTCAGGGCTGGGAGTGCCCTCAGCCAGGGCAGTAAATTCATGAGGGGAACCTGTTCCAGGTGCCTGCGGGTGTGTGACCAGGAGGCTCAGCAGGTGGGCGCGCTGGCCTGGAGTTTGGGAAATGTTCAGGCTAGGAAGGCTTGGGGAGCCCTCACTTAGAGACCAAGGTCACCTCTGGGAGATTCAAAAAGAAGATAGGTGGCAGCAAGGAAGGAGCCTTGGGGGCTGAGAAGGGACAGACAGGGAGGAGGACCCACAGACAGCATGACACTCGTGTCACCATCCCTGCTGGCAGGAGACGCAGAGGGACACCCCGTGGGACATGTTCTCACGGCTGCGCCTCAGGAGGAGGCCTGTCGGTCAGTCCTCTCCAGGAAGCAGGGGGCAGACCCTGGCATGGAGCGTCCAGGAGGGACGAAGAGTGAATGCTCTTGCAGGGTGGTGAGGGATGGTGAGGGCCAGAGGCGTCCCGGGGGATTCTCCATTCATTCGTAGATTCACAGATTCACCATTCATCCACAGTTTTTATTGAGTGCTTTCAGTGTACCTGAGAGTGTAATCTGGAGATCCAGCAGTGACTCAGGTGAGGGACTTGGACACGTGTATAGACTGTGACGAAGGAACCAGAAGGGCAGGCGTGTCTGAACTGACCCCGAGCAGCAGAAAGGAGCAGTCTGGTGCATGGGGGCGTGGGCATTTGGGCTCCACCCTGGGCCCCTGGCCGCTGAAGGGGGCTGCAGTCTCTCCCAGGAGCGAGCAGGCAGGAGATGTCTCAAGATGACCGGTGACAGGATGGCGACTCAGGAATGGAGAGGGAGTTGACCAGGGGCAGTGAGGACGACACATCACAGTAGTGACAGTGGTCTATACAGCAAGCATTGTGTCCGCTGCACCTGCAGCTCAGTGTCATAGCTGGGCAGCTCGACCATCAGGGGCTGGATCCAGGGCTGTGGGTTTGCAGAATAACTTGTGGGGCATGGGGACAGAGAGTTGAGGGGCTCTTGAAGAAGTGGTTTAATGACCCACCACGGGGTATAGTTTTCATTCCTTCAGCAAATGTATCCTCAGTTCCCATACTTGCACGGAGTGTCAGCCAGGAGTGTAAGCTGGCAGTGGGCAAGTGGCAAGTGGGCTCTGCCCCATGGAACTAAGGCAGAGCGGAAATAATTACTTAACATGCTGAGGTAGGCAGGCCAAGTCTTTCTGAGGAGCTGACTGACATTTTAGAAAAACGCAGAAAGGAGAAAGTGAGGCAGCCATGCAAAGAGCCAGGGCAGGAGTGTTCTGGGCGGGGGCCCAGAAGCCCTGCCCTGGGTGGACGAGGGCTGAGGTGGTCCGGACAGGAAGGAGGCTGGCGTGGCTGGTCGGCAAGCACAAGAGCTGGCTCTCTGGGCAGGGCCGTATGAGTAGTGAGGGTCTACTCTGAGAGCGGGCCACTGAGGCAGGTGATGACAAAGTCTGATTGACTTGCTTGTCTAGCAGGTGTCGCTGGCCGTGGGGTGAGTGGGTTGTCAGGGAGGGGTGTGGTGGCAGAAAGGCTGAAGGGAGGCTGTCTGTGTGGTTCCGGTGAGAAGGGGCTGTGGAAGCAGCTGGGAGCCGACAGGGAGGAGACGGATGGCCCACTTGATAAGACCTGTGGTAGAGCGGATGCTGCGGAAGGAGGCGGGGATCCAGACCATGCCTAGGTTTCTCGAGGTGGTGGTGGTTCATAACTTTCTGTCAAAGTATGATATTCATGCGGAAAAGTGCTACTCCTAGGGTTTCGATGAAAGTTTTAGCCTGGGCAACTGTGAATACGGTGCCCCCATCACCATTCCTGAGGGAAGCTCTGGGGGCAAGTGGGTTGGAGAAGAGAGGGGAGTAAGACTTAGGTTTTGAAATACTATGTTTAGAATTCAAGTTAGAAATCCAGGCAGAATTTTGAAGAGGAGGTGAGATGTAGGAATTGAGAGCTCAGTGGCGGCCTCGGGCTGGAAATAGACGCTGGGTGGCTTTGGCCTAGCATGGCTTTTGAAGCCTTGGGGTTGGGCGCAGCTAGAGGAGGGACAGGGACTCCTGTTTCCCAGCCCTGAAGGCCTTAGTGACCAGCTCTGTGGCCGTGTGGCATGTGAAGCCTGGGGGAAGAGGGTGCCCTTGTCCAGGAGGGAAGCCCAGAGGCCAGCCTGGAGTAAGGAGCAGGAGGGCTTCTGAGGCCCACTCCGCCTACTCGGTATGCTCGCTCCTTAGAGGTCACTTTTCTGCACCTGACCCTGTGGCCAAAACCAAAGAATCTGTCCAAAAAGCAAGGGAAGCGGGGGGCTGGCTTCCATGTGGAACCTGGGCCGAGTTTTTCATCCTCAGAGCCAGCAGCCTGCAGTGTGGAAGGGGACTAGGCCATGTGGTCTGAGTGTGGGGGGCCCGGGGAGGCACAGAGCTGCCAGGTCCCCACGCCCTTCCCATCTGCTACCTGGCAGTGAGAGGAGCATCTGCCCCTGAAGTCATGCTCTTGGTTGTTTTGGAGGAGGAGGCAGAAATGCCCCGGTGGTCGGGCGAGGGGAGTTTCTTAGGCTGGGGCTTACTGAGTTACATCTGAAGGGCGGACACTGAGCCGCAGCCCAGGGCTAATGTTCGCTGATGCTGCTCCCCCAGCTTGGCGGCTGCCACGGAGACAGATGCTGGTCTGGCGCGGCTGTGGCCACACCGAGCTGCCATGGTCTGTGCTGGGGACGTGAGCAGGGGGCAGGTGTGAAGAGCTGCAGTTCCTGGCTGCCACCATCTGATGATGGTGCTGCACCTGGGGAGTGGGCCAGGGGGCTTGAGGCCAAGCCAGGCCCCAGGTGAGCCCAGCTGTCCTTTGGAGCTGACACGCTGGGCTCCAGGCAGAGAGGGCCGTTCAGACTCCGGTTCCTCAGTCATTTGCATTAATAGGAACGTGCCAGGGGACAGATGTTGCCAAAAACAGAAGTATTTCTGTTTGGCTTGAATCTATTTTATACTTATACTTGAATATTACAGAAACCTAACCCAGGAGGAAGTAAAAACTTGCTTAATGAGCATGCATCTGCTCTGTGTACTGTTCTAGGTGCTGGGGACACAAATGATAAAACTGATAACTGTGTAACATGATGTCGCATGGTGACAGATGCCAAGGAAGGGGTGCAGGGTGCTGTCGGAGCAGAGCCATCAGGGAGGGCTTCTCTGTTGAAGAGACATGTGATTAAAATACAGATCTGTACCCAAGGGGCTGGCTCAGTGGCGTAGCAGTTAAGTTTGCACACTCCGCTTCCATGGCCCAGGGTTCGCAGGTTCAGATCCCGGGCACAGACCTATGCACCGCTCGTCAAGCCATGCTGTGGCAGGCGTCCCACATATAAAGTAGAGGAAGAGGGGCACAGATGTTGGCTGAGGGCCTATCTTCCTCACCAAAAAGAGGAGGAGTGGCAAACGATGTCAGCTCAGGGCTAATCTTCCTCACCAAAAAAAAAAAAAAAAGATCTGTACCCTTTCTGTTATCCTCTCCTGCCCAAGCCCCTCAATCCCCACACTCCCAGCCTCGCTCCCCTGCTTTTCCCTCTTTCATGAGATTACGGAACACCAGCCTACACATAACTTCTTTCTCTCACTGAGCTTTTTGTCCTGCCAGCTGGGACAGAGGAGATGGAATAATTTTGCTTTGGAAAGACTGCTCATCTTGCTGAATAAGAGAAAACAAGGATATTTCTAGAGTCAGGATTTAATTAAGCCAAGGAAGGAATGGCCACAAAGTGGTGGCAGTACTATTTATTCTGGATCAGGTAGCCTGCAGCCCATGCACCGTCAAGTAATTGGGAAGCCACTGTGTTTTGCAGGTCGCTGACCTCTCTCCTCTCTCCCTGGGTGTGCAGGTCCACCTGTCCTGCAGTCTGATGTCTGTTCAGCCCTCCGACCACCTGGAATGGAATGAGTCTATGCACTCCCTCCGGATAAGTGTAGGGGGCCTTCCTGTGCTGGCGTCCATGACCAAGGCTGCAGACCCCCGCTTCCGCCCCCGCTGGAAGGTGATCCTGCCATCCTTTGTGGGCGCCGCCATCCTCTGGCTGCTCTACTCCCACCGACCGCCCCCAGGCAGACTCCCCGCACCCAATGCCCACAACTGGAGGCTTGGCCAGGCACCTGCTGACCAGTACAATGACACCTACCCCCTGTCTGTCCCCCAAAGGACACCAGGTGGGACTCGGTACCGAATCGCAGTTATCGCCGACCTGGACACAGAGTCAAGGGCCCAAGAGGAAAATACCTGGTTCAGTTACCTGAAGAAGGGCTATCTGACCCTATCAGACAGCGGGGACAAGGTGGCCGTGGAGTGGGACAAAGGCCACGAGGTCCTAGAATCCCATCTGGCAGAAAAGGGGCGGGGCATGGAGCTGTCCGATCTGATCGTCTTCAATGGGAAACTGTACTCTGTGGATGACCGGACAGGGGTTGTCTACCAGATCGAAGGCACCAAGGCTGTACCCTGGGTGATTCTGTCTGACGGCGATGGAACTGTGGGGAAAGGTACGTCGGGCCGCTGTGTCTCCTGGGTTTGGTGAGGAGCTAGGGGACAAGTTCTGGGCCGACTGTCCGCTGGCTTGGTTTGCATGCGCTCACAGTAAAGTGTTCTTCTGTCCTGAAGGAGGGAACGTTGGGAAGAGCTAGTCTCCGTCCTGCTTCTGACCCACGGCCCCCCAGACTGGGAGCAAAAGCCTTACGGGACTTCAGACCGAAGTGGAGTCTAGATGTTTGAGCTTGTTACTAGAGGCCTGCCAGGGAAGTGGGGGTTCTCCCCAGGATACATTTTAGGGCTCTGTCCACTGCTACTCACAGTGCCTCTGGGAACATGGCCCTTTTTATGTCTTAAAAGATATCGTAAGAGCACACTGGGATTACACCCTCTGCGTGCCTTCCCTTTAAAGCCCTCATGTCCAGTTGTTCTCGTTTTGAACCAAGACTGTATTAAAAGGGTAAACTTTTGCTGCCCAGCCCTCCTTTCTGAAAACCCAGCAGAAGGAGGATCTGTGTAAGCAGCAGTGACCTCGAGTGGAATCTGACCTCTGAAATCTGCCATTACCCACTGCTCTGTTGTTTGCCAGAAAGGAGTTACTGCCTGCAGCAGGTGTGGAACAGAGCTAGAGAGGGGGCCAGAGTGGCCCAGAGCCTCAGACAGGGGAGGGGGCAGGGGGGTGCTAGGCACCAGCAGGAGAGTTGACAAGAGCTGCCATGTGTGCCCAAGCTCTCACGGTGAGTCTGCACCTTCTAGAAAGCTAAACCACTGCAGCCTCTCTGAGGTCAGAGGAGGAACTGCACTAATTAGCTGGGGCCCTGGGCAGTGGTCTGCCAGGCCCTCCCCTGGTATAAATCTCTTCAGTGTTTGCCCAAGGCTGGGGCAGTTGGCAGGAAATGTGCCTCAGCCTAGGCCTTAGAGAAACGTTGGTTGTCTGTTTCCTGCCTCAGTCTGTCAGAGTTTATAGGCCACCATTATTTAGTTCTGTTCTTCCTCTTGGATCGGGAAGAAAGCAGAATAAAGGGAGCCGTGGGTTTGCCCTTTGGTCGGGTCATCCAGAACGGGTGGAAGATCTGGTAAGTGGAAAGCATCTTATCTCGAAAATGGCCCAGGGGACTGATCCTGGGATCACAGGAATTCAGCGGGTCCCTCCAGAGCCATCTGCGGAGAAGCATTCCAGAGGCTGCTGCCATCTCACGGGGAGGGTGGCCGCTCCAGCTCCTCAGAGCAGGCAAGAAGCTTGCAAAACCTCTGGGAAAGCAAGTACAATTCAAGTCCATCTAAGAAAAGAAACACACTGATTGGGATGGACACTGTGAGCCCCCACGCCAGCCCCTCTTGGCAGCTCTGGCTACTGTCACTTAATTTACCCTCAGTGACATGTCAGGGGTGGCTGCCAGGACAGCAAACGTGTTCTGCTGTGACAGGTACTTCAAGTGCTACCACTTCCTAGGATTTGGGAATAACCTTGAGGTTGGGGCCTACAGCTTGAGAAACAGGGAGTCTGGGGATCAGAGGAGATTTCCGAGTATGTGACTGGGCCTTTCAGAGCTGAGGGGAAGGTGGGGCACCAGCGGCAGAAGCAGTTAAATCGCTTTGAGGGGATGTCCCAGCAGAGTGTTCCTGGGTTGAGTTACCGAAGGAAAACGTGATGGTTCCTGGAGGGCAGGGAGAGAGGAGTGGGGAAGAATAAAGGCGGGAGAGTAGGTGCCCATCTGCCCTGCATGAGTTGCCGTGGGGTCTGCTCTAAAGAGAGGTGACCGACTGCTGACCTTCTGGAATAGAGCCCTGAGCCAGGCTGTCCTGTCCTCTGCTCGTCATGGCCTCGAATGAAGTCCAGCACGGGTGACCTGACACCCAAGGCTGCTGGACCGGGAGGGCTGTCTGCTCTTGCCTGCCAGACCCCACAGGAGCCCGCTGAGCAGAGGGCTGGCTCATCTCAGGCACGCCCCTCTTGTCTCCTTGTCCCTAGGCTTCAAAGCTGAGTGGCTGGCTGTGAAGGACGAGCATCTGTATGTGGGCGGCCTGGGCAAGGAGTGGACCACCACCACGGGGGAGGTGATGAACGAGAACCCGGAGTGGGTGAAGGTGGTGGGCTGCAAAGGCAGCGTGGACCATGAGAACTGGGTGTCCAGCTACAATGCCCTGCGGGCCGCCGCTGGGATCCGACCGCCAGGTAAGGGACCAGGCGCCACCCTGTGGGCACTGAACAGATGCCGTGCACCATGCATGTGCTTTCTTGGGGTGTTACTTCCAAACACAGTGGCTTAGTTTCTTGCTCAATTTTGATGATTTCAACTGTCTCTGATGGCTGGTCCCATCAGGCCAGTGGATTCTCAGGCAAATGAGCCGTTTTCTCTTTCATCGCTCACTCGCCTTGACAGACCACCTCCTGCTGTCTCAGTTCACAACCCATCCTGCCAGGGCTGGTTCTCGCTGTTCCCCTGGGGGTCAGGGCCTCGGGCCTCGCACCTGTTGTGGTAGAAGCAAGGTGGCCAGAGCTCTGGTTCTGTCCCCTCGTTTTCTGAGAGTCGTCGTGGTTTGTAGTAGGGAGTCGCGATGCTTGGAGCGGCCTCGTCAGCTCTAGGCTTGGGGGGACAGGACTCTGAGGACATTGCTTCGCCCCCATATAGGGCTCGTTTTCCATCCTTAAATGTGAAGGGAGTGGTGCTTCCTCTTCGGCTTTGAGGCCGCCTCTCCCACCTACCCCACTGTCTATTCTTCACGCATCAAACTTGCTTGTTTATCTGGCTGCTTCCCCTGGGCTCTGCTTCTCTTGATTAGCACCCAGGAAGCAGAAGTAAAGACAGACCCCGTGGCTGCGGCTTAGCAGCAGCTCTGGGGAAAGCCAGCAGGGAAGCTTGGCGAGGGGAGACGGGGCGCCCCGGAGACTTGGTGTTTGTCCTGCTTTCCCCGTCTTTGTTACTCTGGATAATTGAGAACAAAAGCAGATCGAGAATCCTCTGGGAAATACAGAGATCTAAGGAAAAGAGGAGTGATGCTGCTCTGGACCGACAGGCTACCTCACACCATCTCCCGGAGCACGTGCAGGGAGGAAGGCTGTCTCAGGCAGCCACGAGTCCCCTCACCTCTGCCGTGCCGTCGAGGGTGCTGCATACCCTGGTTGTGGGGGGAGGCAGGCCTGGGGCAGCAGGCGGGGTCAGTCCCGCCCGACTGGGTCTGTGACCTGTGGGTCTGTCGTGTGTCCCCAGGCTACCTCATCCACGAGTCTGCCTGCTGGAGTGACACACTGCAGCGGTGGTTCTTCCTGCCGCGCCGCGCCAGCCACGAGCGGTACAGCGAGAGGGATGATGAGCACAAGGGCACCAACCTGCTGCTGAGCGCCGCCCAGGACTTCGGCGACATCTCCGTCAGCCGCGTGGGGGAGGTGGTCCCCACACACGGCTTCTCATCCTTCAAGTTCATCCCCAACACCGATGACCAGATCATCGTGGCCCTCAAATCCGAGGAGGACAGCGGCAAGGTTGCTACCTACATCATGGCCTTCACACTTGACGGACGCTTCCTTCTGCCAGAGACCAGGGTCGGAGGTGTCAAGTACGAAGGAATAGAATTTATTTAAACTGAAGAAATGAAGCTGTTGAGCAAGGCCGAGGAGTGGGCAGTTTTAAGCTACATCAGGACTCAGATTTCATAAATACCAGAGGACTGCACTTTTATGTGGTGTTTTGTTTGCTTTTTTTTCTTCTCAGAACGCTGTGGCAGATGCGCGATGTAGAGGTCTCCAGAACGGGGCTCAGCCCCAGGTGTGTGAGCAGAGGTCTGATTTCCTGGAGCTGGGCAGGGGCTGCCGGTGCAGGCTCTCACCCACCGGTCCTCTGCGCTGCCAGCTGGTGGTAGAAGCTGATCATTGCAGGCATCTTAATTTGGGGCCCATCCTCTCTGATTCTGCTAGGTCCTTTCTTTCTTCCATCTGACCTCCCTCTTTCTTTCCATTTGTTCTTTTGTTCAATAAATTTTTCTTGAGCTGTTACTCTGTGTCAAGCACTGTGCTCCCTCGGGGAACACAATAGTGAGTTGGAAGTGGACCTGACCGTCGGGAACTTCCATGCCACCCCTTTTCTTCCTCCTCGTGAACCTCGGGCATTAAATCCTCCCCTCCAGGTCCTCGGGAAAACACCTGTGTACACTGCAGGATGCTACAGGGCTGTGAGCGAGGGCAGGCCCCGTGGAGCCCTCTGCCCAAGTGCTGCAGGGAAGGGTGCGGGCTCCTCCCTCCATCCCAAGCTGCGCGTTAGACATCTCAAGTCCATGGGGCGACTCCATGTTCTCCCTTCAGGAAAATTCTGTGGCTACGTAGCACTTTGAAGTGTTAATTATTATTTTAATTAAAGCCATTCCTTTTGTCATAGAATGGAATTGCCAAATCTTATCTCACAGAGCAAAGTCCCATCGTTAAATTCATTCTCAGCAGTGGAGGAAATTGTAATTAAGCAGTTAGAGTTGGTGAGGCAAGTTTATAATTGTTTCTAAGTCCTTGGCCAGAGGATACAAAGATAAAGAAAACATTGCCTTTTTCTGGCAACTATCAGAAATTGTCATGCCTTTAAAGCCTTCCATGAATGACTTGAATTTTTATTTCCTGACTCAGTGAGACCCAGGTTCTGAGGGCCAGCACCCGGCTCCAGGCACTGGGCTGCTTTACTCTGGAGGTTGTGACGAGGCCTGCCCGGCCCTGCGCTTTCCGTCCCTGGTCTTTTATTTCTCCTCTTCCCTGTGGGAGCTTTGCAGCCTCTTCTCCGTGGAAGCTCTTCATGCAAACCTTGGCTTGTCTTGTCCCTGTGGCCTTTTCTCAGTGCCCCAGGGTAAAGGCAGAGAGTTTGGGACAGGTCAGCCGGGACCAAAGCCTAGAAGGGCCGTTGCCATCCACTCACAGCGCCCCTCGCCCAGAAGCTACCTCACCCCCCAGGAGAATGTAGGGGTACCGTGATGGCTGGGAAGGGCCATCTTGTAGGCTCTGACTCTTACTGTGTGGATCCCTGTCTCACAGACTTTTCCCACTTTGAAACTGTAATACAGCTGCTAGGAGGGAACCCAGTAAGGATGGTTGTCTGTTTGTCTGTTGTCTGGTTGTCTGTTTCTTCCAAACAAATGGCAGAAGAACGGAAACAAGCTACTGAATGTGACACACATCTCTAGAACTCGGCTCCCATACATATCCCTCCCGGACATAGCCCGGAGGACCCAAGTCTTTTCTGACCTTGCCTGGCTAGGCTCCCTGGCCCACCTCCTTGATGAACTGTCAGGGCTGTGTGATTTTAAAACTACAGAGATGAAACTTGGAAGACTGGAAACAGTCACTAAGTTGAGACCTCTCTGCCTCAGCTGTGGCCTAGGTGCCCAGCAGCAGCATTTTCACACTCAGTGATTTTCAAATATTTCCAAGCTAGCCTTTTCCCGCCTCTATATTCGCTGCTGTAAGCGTAATGATTGTGTTCCTTCCTACTGGAGCCATTGTTTTGTAAACAATAAAGTGCCAGAGGGGCCTGTGAGTACTCTTTTGTCTCCTGGTCTATGTTGGCTGTTCTCCAAGGGCGCCGCCCCAGGGCATACGAGAGACGATGATTCACACGCCAGCTCAGTGAGCCAGCTCAGTGAAGGGTGCGCTCTGTCTGTGTGCATGGTGGGGGCAGGGAGTACTGGCAAAGAGCACGCAAGAAGAGTTCTTGGCACAGGATGTCTGATGTGCCATGGGCATTCATGGGACAGGGACCCATGAACCTTTGCCAACCAGGGAGCCTTTCTGGAAACCCAATCACCCAGTCCAACTTTTGATGACATCTGAAGATGCTCCTTTGGTCTTAATGGTTAGGAATATAGGCTCTGAACCCTCCCAGGTCCAGTCCTGGCTCTGATACTTTGTAGCTGTGTGACCTTGGATAGATTATCTAACGTCTCTATGCTTTAATTTCCTCATGTGCAAAAGGAAGATAACAATAGAGCTGTTGGGAATGGTAAATGAGTTCACACACATAAGGGTCTTGCCTGATGCCTAGTTAGCATGCACCCATTCTGTTGTTGTGGCTCACCAAGTGGAGATATCTGGAAGATTTGGTGATGAGGTGGGGCTCGGGTGAGAGGGCTAACTGATCTGGGTATCATTAGTGTGTCTGATGAATCTGCAGGAGCAAATGAGACCATGCCAAAGGACATGCAGGGTCCTAAGAAGTCCTAACTTGAAACCCCAGGAACAACGGGAAAGGAGGGGACTAGTAAAGAAGAGAGGCTTAACCTGGAGAAGGAGGAAACCAAGAGAGTGTGGTATCATGAAAGCCAGTGCCCACATCTTTTGTCCCATCCCCAGCCCGCTCTGTGTCCCCAGGGCCTGACCTGCGTGAACCTCATGAACCCTCTGGGATTGACCCCTGACTGGCAGGAGGGAGGGGGTGAGCTGGGAGTCCCTGATTCCCTCCTGCAGGGTTGGTCCTGCACTGTCTTACAGGGCAGCTCCCTCTACCCACTCTCTCCCAGCCTGGGCTCCAGTAACCACTCCCTGCCTTTGTCCCTTCTGGCCTGGGAGTGGTCCTAGCTGCAGATCCCACACTACCCCCTGTGGTGTCCTTATTCCCTGCTCATGCACACCTAGTAAATAGCCCTTTTCTTCAAGCCTCCGTAGATTATCCTCATTTGGAGCCATCTGTTTCCTGCTGGGAACCTGAGCAGTGCAGCCAGGGAGGAGAGTCAACCATCACACACTGCAGGGCCGTCAGTAAGAAGGTCTGGAGAGTAGCCAGGGACCGAGAAACAAGGAGGACTCGGTGTTCTTGGCGATCCTCGTGAGGGCAGTTCCAGGAGGGGGAGGGGGAGAAGCCAGAGCGCCTCAGGCGAGGCGGGAACGAGGTGAGGAACTGCAAGTGGAGGGGCAAGGAACTGAAAATCAGGTCTTGAGCCTCTCTTTAAGAGGTCCTGATGGCTGGACTCACGCAGGCAGTGACTCGTGCCTGTGTGGCACTCTTGTGTGTCCAGTGTGCAACTCGTCAGCAAAAAGAAACTCCCAAAAGTCATCTCGGGACTTAGTGGAAAAAATGAGATCAGTTTCTTTCCAAATGTTAATTCTGTCCTCTTATGCACTTTAAATTGGTAAATGTTAAGGTAACTTATACCTTAATAAAATTGTTAAAAGATTTAAATAAAGCAAAAATAAAATGCCTTCACACAAAGAAAATTCCAGGCCCAGATGGCTTCACTGGTGAATTGTACCAAACATTTAAGGAAAAAATAATACAAACCAACACAAAATCTTCCATGATTTGGGGAATTGGGAACACTTCCCAGCTCATTTTATGAGGGCACCACTACCCTGATACCAAAACCAGACAAATGTTTACAAGAAAAAAAAAAATACAGACCAGTATCCCTCATGAACATAGATGCAAAAATCCTTAGCAAAAATTTAGCAAGTTGAATCCAGCAATATAGAAAAATGAAAACACTTCATGACAAAGTGTGGTTTCTGCCCAGAATGCAAGGTTGGTTTAATATTCTAAAATCAATCGATGTAATTCAGCATATTAACGGACTAAAGAGGAAACCATATGATCATATCAAAAGATACAGAAAAAGCATTTGGCAAAATCCAACACCCACTCATGATTTAAAAAAAAGTGAAACAAAAACAAAACAAACTCTTAGCCAACTAGGAATAAAAGGAACTTCTTTAACCTGATAAAGGGCATCTGTGAAAAACATACAGCTAACATCATACTTCACTGTGAAAGACTGAATGTTTTCCTCCTAAGTCTGGGAACAAGGCAAGAATGTCTGCTTTCACCAGTATTTTCTCCCCCACTAAACTTTTTATCTTGAAATTATTTTAAACCACCTAGAAGTATAGTGTTGCTATGTTCCCTTCACACAGCTTTCTCCAGTGGTAACACCTTACGTTACCATAGCACAATTATACAGCCCAGGAAACTGGCATTGCTGTCATCAGTTTTATTCACCAACCATCTTATTGGAGGTCCCAGAGAGTGCAATTAGGCAAGAAAGAGGAAAGTCATAAAGATTGGAAAAGAAAGAGTAAAACTATCTTTATTTGCTAATGGCAAGACCAACTAGGTAGAAAAGCCTCAGAAATCTTCAAAAATAACTGTTAGAACTAACAGTTGAGTTTAACAAAGCTGCAGGATACACAGTCCACATATAGAGATTAATTTTATTTCTATATAGCTGCAGTGAACAATTGGAAATGGAAATTTTTAAATACAGTGTCATTTACAGTAGCACCAAAAAACGTGAAATAGATATAAATCTAACAAAACGTGGAAGATCTGTATGCTGAAACTACAAAACACTGATGAAAGAAATTAAAGGAGACTCAAGTGAAACAATATACTGTCTTCACAGATGGGAAGACTCAATTTTGAGAAAGAAAAACAAAGTTGAAGGACTTATACTATCTGACTCCAAGAGTTAATATAAGGCTATAAGTAATCAAAACTGTAATATTGGCATAAGAAACATAGACATATAAATCAATGAAATAGAAGAGGGTCCAGAAACAGACCCATATGTATGTGGTCAGTTGATTTTTGACAAAGGTACCAGGGCTATTCAGTGGGAAACAGATTGTCTCCATAAGTGGTGTTGGGACAAGTCTAATCTATATGGAAATAAATGATTGAAACCCTTATCTCCCATCATACACAAAGTTAACTCAGAATAGATCATAGACCTAAATGTAAGAGCTGAAACGACGAAACTCCT